TGATACTTCGATAAAATGCACTTAAAATAAGAGAATGCAATTGTGTTTTATCATTTTTGAATTGTCTTATTCCATTGGCCAAATGTGTTTTTTACCTTCATAATTCAAGAACAAATGCACTTAATTTAAGAAAAAAATGATTGTGATGTCTTTATGTCAGAGCAGAGGTGGATTAGTTGAATTAGAGATCCCAAGTTTCCTGTTAAAGCTGAGCTGCAGCTTCTGGTTATTTAACAATTAGATAAGAAGATAAATTTTTGGAATTGCACCCGCAGTCATTTATTATTCACATGAGGAGCAGAGATTTCACACAATATTATGTTCCAAACTGGAAAAACGATCTAGAAAAAAGGTAAAAATGTTTTAAATTAAGTGTATTTACCCTTAATTTGAGTAGATAAATCAGATGTTCTGCCAATGGAATGAGTATTTTTACTCTTAAAATAAGATATTTAGATAAAATGCACTTGAAATAAGACAATGCAATTGTCTTTTCTTATTTTAAGTGTAAATCATCTTGTTCCAAAAAATCCACTTATTTTAATACAAAGTTTTTTATCTAGATTTTGATTTTTTTGAAGTGCACCAAATACACTGAAAGCGAGATTATCTCTGCTTCTGTCTCCTTGAACCCCAGTGGGCCTCAGCAGATGGCCGCTCACACTGAGCCTGTTCTGCTGGAGGTTTCTTCCTGTTAAAAGGGAGTTTTTCCTCTCCACTGTCGCTATAAGCATGCTTAGAGTGAGGGATTTAATTTGAGGCAATGAATCGATGCAATCAGCTGGTTTTCAGCTGGTTTAGATAGAAAAATTTGAATCAATCAGAGTGGATGATCTGGTTGAACAGTAAAGTGCCTTGAGATGACATGATGTGAATTGGCACTATAGAAATAAATTGAACTGAAGTAAATTAGAAGCATCACTGAGATTTCTCTTTTTTGCCTATTTTTCCGTTTTATTGTCCAATATTACCAAATCTTTTTTGACCTGTGAACCCTTTTGGGCATTTTTTCGTACCATGAGTTTCCCTCTCTGTCAGAAGAATTGACGACTGCCCAAAGTGGAACATACAATAACTGAAATAAAAACTATTTTACTTAATCTTTTAATTTAAAATAAAATCATATTATATTTTAATACAAAATAAAATTATATTATGAACCTGTTTTTATAAAATTGGAGCTCCTTTGAGTAACTCCCTTATAATCACATTTAAATTTGATGAATTGGAAACAAAATGCAGAACTATAGTCAGACTGACTTAATCAGTTTTATTTGTTTTCATCCAGACACCTGAGCTGCTTTGATGAGCTCCTACAGCTCAGTGTGAAAACCAGCAGATCACAGGTTGTTCTCTTGATCCAGTCTGTTCTTCTGCTTGGTTTTGATGCGTGTCAAAGCTGAGGGTGAACTCAAACATATAAGAATAAAGGA